CCCCCCCCCCCCCCCCCCCCCCGTCTCTCCGCAGGGCAAGCAGCGCATGCGGCATGACTATGCCGGGGTGGTGGAGCGCATGGAGCGCTTGCGCGCCCCCCTGGAGTACGCCTGGGGCGTCATGTCCCACCTTACGGGGGTAAAAAACAGCGATCCCCTCAGAGATGTCCACCAGGAATTGCAGGTGAAAACGGTCAATTCATGAATACATGCACGGGCCAGGTTGTTATTATTTGTTGTCTTGACCATGACAAACCGTTCCGGTCTCCGCTCGCTGCTGTAGTACCTTCTAGTATCCGTGTTGGCCCAACTGACGCAGACGCTCGCATTGCTTGTTTCTGTTTTGTAGCATCTTGTGGGAGGGGGGCCTCCCAGTGAAATAATCAGAGCCTCCGTGCGTGGCGCATCTCTTTGTTGTGTGCGGGTTTGACGACGTCTGCATGTAGCGTGCGAGGCTCAATCTCTCTCTCTACAGGTGATGATTGGTGTCACGAGTATACGGGTACGTGGTGCATGGCGTCCTTCACCTCACCTCACCTGATAAAAGAGTGTACAGCTGCCGCCTTTGCGTTTGTGCTAAATAGCTCTAACAGGAGCCAAAGATTCACTTGCCTGCGATTGCGCTGTGCTCTCAAATCTCCTGTTTGTGATCATTGTGGTCGGTGGTATGCATAGTTCTCGTTGCCTGTTTTGTTGCGAAGGTCAAGGCTGCTGCTGCTGCTGCTGCTGCTGTTCTTATCTCGCTGTGTGCTGAGGCTTAAGCTCTTCTTGTCGTCGTCGTCGTCTCCCCCCTGTTGTCAAACAAAACCGCCGCCTGCTGCCGTGCCTGTTGCGGCTGCAGCCCAAGGTAGTGACGATTTTCCAGAAGATGGGGCAGAGCAAGGAGGTCTACGACGCGCTCAACTTTCTACAGGTCCCTGCCTGCCGAAGGTGTGGACACTGACGGACGAGGCTGGCTGCTTTAGCTTAACGCGCACTGCGGTCGGCCGTGGTTCATTGATGATTGTTGTGTACTGCTGGTAGGTCGTGTTGTTGTCATCGTCGTCGTCAGTATTGTTTGGGTGCTTGTTGTTGTTGTTGCTATTGTTGTTCCTGTTCCTGTTGTTAGTGATGTTGCTGGTTGTGTTGTCGTGGACAGCGGTGCCACAGTACACGATACTTTCGGCCACGTATTTGGACAGCGTACGACATGCCTAGACAACGGTGACGTCATGCATGCAAGGTGTTCCTTGGGAGACCAGGGTCCTTCCTTCTTTGCTTATGGGTTCTGTACGAAAGCTTCAGTGGGGAGCTAGACGTAGCGTGAATCATGATGAGCGGCACGTACGAATCACGATGAAACTGCCTACAGAGGTGGTGAAAAACATTTGTCCATGTCCCGTTTTGTTTTTGAGGTGGGACGGGACGACATTTACCATTACACGCGCATTGTTATTTTGCTTTCATTTCGAGACACAGGGTGTCTGGTGTGTCTGACACCGCGGCAGGGCGAGGGCCGGTCTGTTTCCCATGTGGCCCTTCGCGACCGGTACAAGCGCTTTTACTCTGCCGCTTTGCGACTGAGTCATCTACAAAACCTCCATTGAAGTTCTTGACTATGAAGCGCCCTCCAACGCCCCGTCCCCCCCCCCCCCCCCCCCCCCNATCACGATGAAACTGCCTACAGAGGTGGTGAAAAACATTTGTCCATGTCCCGTTTTGTTTTTGAGGTGGGACGGGACGACATTTACCATTACACGCGCATTGTTATTTTGCTTTCATTTCGAGACACAGGGTGTCTGGTGTGTCTGACACCGCGGCAGGGCGAGGGCCGGTCTGTTTCCCATGTGGCCCTTCGCGACCGGTACAAGCGCTTTTACTCTGCCGCTTTGCGACTGAGTCATCTACAAAACCTCCATTGAAGTTCTTGACTATGAAGCGCCCTCCAACGCCCCGTCCCCCCCCCCTCCCCCCCTGCTTGTACTTATCCTCCGCCCTGCGGTGAATCGTATCGGGCACTAAAAGGCTCATGACTGAAGCTCAGATCCGCGTTGTGGATGCATCGGTGAAGCAGATGGAGCTGGGCGGTGTTGGCCTCGAGGGGGAGGTACGTTCGCACAGCAATATAGGGGTCCAGCAGTGTCGGGGCACGGCAGCATGGGGATACAGCAGGAATCGGGTATGGATGGTGACTGGACTCGTATGGTTGGTTTGTCTGTGAGGTGGATCGCGCGGACGTGCGCAACTGCACGAACACGCGTATTTCTTTCCTTTTTTTTTTATTGCAAGGCGTCCCTCCGGGATGGCCTCAAGAGAGAGCACAGCAATGTCATCAAGGGGTGACGCAAGATGAGAGTAGTGGAGTCATGTTGACGGTCGACCATGCGCCGTGACCCTTTATGTTTGAGGGGGGCGGAGTGTGCAGCAGTGCAAGGAAATGAGGTGGAAGAAGTACGTACGTGCGTGGCGTCGATTTTGTTACTTCGAGGATGGGTGAAGCTTGTGTCAGTTGCGGGCTTTTTAAGGAGGCGAACTCAATTGATTTGGGCCACTTCTTTGGCCAAGCTTTTCGACACGGCCTTAGTAACGCGCACGTAGCCGCTGAACACGGTTCTGCCTTGCCTAGCCTTGTCTTCCTTATCTTGTCCTGCTCCCGCTGCGTGCTCTTTCGCCGTCTTGGGTCTCGTTGTTGCTACTCGTTGTTGCTGATATCCCTGCTGCTGTTTTTTTCTGCTGTCGTTATTATTGGTGGTACAACTGTTGTGATTCAGTTGTTGCTACTTACACTGTTGTCGCCGTCGTCGGTGCTGACTGCGTTGGTTTGGCGTCCGATAAAAAAGGCCAAGGAGGAGTTCAACAAGATCCAGCTCGAGCTCGCGGACCTGTCGACCAAGTTCTCCAACAACGTCCTCGACGCCACCAAGGCCTTCAGCCTCACCCTCACCGAGAAGGCTGACGTGGATGGCCTACCCGCTTCGGCCTTGGGCCTTGCTGCGCAGTCCGCCAAGGTGTGTCGTGTATCGAGAGTGATTTTTGGTACGTTTCTGTTTTCACGTATTATTTTGTAGGTCTTCTCTAAAACCAAGGGTAAAGGCGTGTCATGTGTTGAGCGTGATTTTTACATTTCTTCCGGAGCTTTGACCATGCTATCACACCCTTGCACGCTTTGCTTTGTACTCGGAGAAGTTTACAAAATGTCTTCCCTAAAACCAAGGTTAAAAAAATACAACAAAGATTGAATACGGGTTGGAGAAAGAAACATCTTGTCATTTTGTTGTGTTTGTATTACTCCTGTGCACAACAGTGTTGACTTCTTGTTGCCACAATAGCAATTGTGCCCTTTGGTTCGGTAGTGTTAACCCCCCCCGCCCCCCACGGAACACACGAAAACAACAACGGGAGGTCCTAATGTAAAACACCGCGAGCGATGATTGTTTGAGCTCTTTCGGTATAGGGTGTCAGGCAGTACTGTACCAACGTCAGCCGCGATCTGCCCGAACGGTATGCGTGTCTAATGGTCGAGAGCCCCCATCTCCTCACGGCGAACACCAAATCATTCCCCCCCCCCCCCCTGCACTCTATGGTGTACGGCATGCGTTTACATGGATACCTCCCCCCCCCCGGCAGGCAGCCGGAGAAGAAGGTGCAACTCCCGAGGAGGGTCCCTGGAGGCTCACCTTGGACATGCCCAGCTACCTCCCCTGCATGCAACACCTGAAGAACAGGGAGGTATGCATATGCACTTGTGCTGGAGAACAAATGATAAACTTTACGGGGATTGGTGTTTTCGGGACTAGTAAACTTGGTCGAGATGGTCTCCAATTTAGAGTTTTTTCTTTGTTCTCTTTGTCCCACCTACAGTGCAACTACTGCTGCTGTTGTACATGTATCAAGCTGTAAACCAGGTCCACCAGTACACCTACTGCTGTACTTGTAGATCAACAAACATCTCTGTCTCACTTTTTCTCTCTCTCTGTCTCTCTCCCTCTCCCCCCCCCCCCCCCC